TATTTATTTATTTGAGAGGGGGGAGGGGCAGAGGGAGCGGGAGAAGCAGACTCCCCGCTGAGCAGGGAGCCCGACGTGGGACTCAATCCCAGGACTCTGGGATCACGACCTGAGCCGAAGGCAGACGCTAATGACTGAGCCACCCAGGCGCCCCTCCATACCCTATTGAATAGAATTTTTAAAAAATACATTGCTATTCCTATCATTGGAGCTGTCACAGTCTCAGACTTTTTTCTAGATTCTTTCTGTAAATTTTCTTTAAAAAAAAAATGGCTCTTGTTATCAGTAATGATATCTTTAAACAGTTTTAAAAAGGTGAACATCTAGGGGCACCTGGGTGGCTCAGTTGGTTAAGCGTCCTGGGATCGAGCCCCGCATCGGGCTCCCTGCTCGACAGGGGGCCTGTTTCTCCCTCTCCCTCTGCCACTCCCACTGCTTGTGCTCTCCTGCTCTCTCTCTCTGCCAAATAAATAAATTAAATAAATAAATAAAATCTTTCCCCAAAAAAGGTGAACATCTCTTGACCCTTTACTGAGACAGACGCTGGGTAGCTCCCACTTCTCTGTCTGGGCTCTGAGGAAGCGCAGGTCTGACACTGGATGATTGGTAGCCTCTTTCTTTAAGCAAGATTCTTCTTTTTCCAGCAACTTTTCCTCTCTTACTTGGTTCACTTTTTTAAAAGTTTTTTTTTTGTTTGGTTTTGATTTTGGTTTAGTTTATCAGGCCTTTTTTTTTTTTTTTTTTTAAGTATAAGCCCCATCTACTTTTTTAGAGATTGGCCATAAATATTAAAGATAGGTAACATGTTTTCAAAGTTAAATATGCATAAGAGACAATATTAGATGACAGACCTGTGGTACTTTTAAGTTTTTCAGTTTTAAATTTTTCCTTAACTTATTTACTGGCTTCCAAAGCCCTTATAAAATTCACAAATGTGGGGCTCCTGGGCGGCTCAGTCATTAAGAGTCTGCCTTCGGCTCAGGTCATGGTCCCAGGGTCCTGGGATCGAGCGCCGCATCGGGCTCCCTGCTCAGCGGGAAGCCTGCTTCTCCCTCTCCCACTCCCCCTGCTTGTGTCCCTGCTCTCGCTGTGTCTCTCTGTCAAATAAATAAATAAAATCTTTAAAAAGAAAAAAATTCACAAAAGCTTGTAGCATTTGCCTCTTCCCTTTCCAGTCCAATCTCCTTGAAATGACCAACACTGAAAATTTGCTGTGGAGCAACCCAACCAAAAATGTGCTAGAGAAATGAACAGTGTTCGTGGGAAAAGCTTGTACCATATGTGAAAAGATGCTGAAGCTACTTAAATAACAAGAGAAATGAAAAATAAAACTCTCCTGTGATACCACACCTGTTTGACGAAAAGCCAAAGTCTGACAACATACTCCCTTGCCAAGGCTAGAGGAAAACACATTGCTAGAGGGCGTACAAGATGACACAACCCTTAGGAAGGAGAATTTAACAATGTATAGTAAAAATACACATTCATTTGCCTATTGAACCTAACATTTTTTACAGATACACTGGCAAAAAAAAAACCCCAGATACCTAGAGGCACCTGTGTGGCTCAGCTGGTTAAGCATCTGGCTCTTGATTTCAGCTCAGGTCACGATCTCGGGGTTGTGGGATGGAGCCCCACATCGGGCTCCGTGCTCAGTGGGGCGTCTGCTTGAGGATTCTCTCCCTCTGTTCCTCTCCTGACTCCCATGTGTGCTCTCTCTTTCTCCTCCTCCTCTTTCAAATAAATAAACCTTAAAAAAAGAAAAACAAAACCCGGTATGCTCAAGGCTGTTCTTGCAGGACTATATCGAATAGCTCTAAAAGACTGGGGACAGATTGAGGAAATGGGAAATAAGTAACAGGATGGTAATTATGAACCCAACTCTATGGATAATTATACTCAATGTAAATTTCCTGTAAATTTGTATCTAGACTAAAGCTCAGATGGTTTCTCACATCTACAGAGTAAGATAGATTCAAAGAAGGCTAACTTTTACACTTGTGCTTTTTATTTCTTCCTTATTGGGGAACAATCTGGGGGGACTATAGTTTCTCTGTCCACTGTTTCTTGCTTTTCTTAGTATAAACAGAAACTATATTTTTACAGATAGTAGCAGACTGTACACATTTATCTTCTCTGCTTTCTTTCACTTACCAGGGTGGCCATAGTGGTATACAGATACTTCTTATTCCTCTTACAGCTGCATGAACCCCATTATGTGACTGTATCATAGTTTATCATTTCTCATGAGAAATCAGTCTTTTGTTTCTCTGTACCTAACGTGTCTTTTTTCTCTACTTTTAAGATTTTCTCTCTGATACTGATTTTCAGCAGTTTGATTATGATATGCTTTGCTTTTGTTTCCTTTTTCATCTGCTTGGGGTTTAATATCTTGGTTCTGTGAGTTTATAATGGTCATTAAATTTGGAAAGTCTTTAGCCAGCCTGAGTTCTGCCTGCCACGGGGCTTGATCCCACAACCCTGAGATCATGAGCCAAAACCAAGAGTCCCACGCTCAACTGACTGAACCACCCTGGGGCCCTTTCTAATTTCTATTTCAATTTCTTCTCTGATCCATGGGTTTGAACTTGTCTTTCTTTGGCCTTCCCCCCCGAACCCCCCCCCCAAATGCTGATCCCATCATTTCTTGCCATTTTGTTCACTGCCTTTGCCTTCAGACAGGTGTTGTTTGTTTTAGATTGGATTTGTTTCTAGCTCTGCTAGTTGTCTTCTGCTAGGTGGTTGGTCCATATTACCCAGTCTACCTTCCCAGAAGTCCTAGTACCTTATAGGTTATGTGGAGCTTTATATCTTCAAAAGTTTTTTAAAAATATCTGTTATCCTTTAGGAAAGAAAGTTAATATGTTGTTAAATAACTTTCCAGAGGTCATTAACTAGTAAGTGGTAGAAGGGAAGTACTTAGGTCTTTAACATGTAATCTTGTCTCCTTTATATTTTCGGATACTGCCAAATCTATATTTTTATGTATGTCTTGGATATTCGTATTTTTCAAATATGAGTTAAGAGTTTCCTTAATAACCATTACCTGTCATCCAAAGCACTGTGGTCTATTCCGAGTTCTGTTTGCGGTTATTCTCTCCCAGTTTGGGCCTGTGTTACAGCTGTGGGAGGTGTGTGTGTACTGCAGGGCGTTGTCCCACAGATGGAAACATACTGAGAACAACCAATCCGAGAAGCTGTTCTGTCTGGATACCTTGATTAAATCTTTGTCCCTGGTATTTAATTACCCCCTTAAAATAGAAAGAATACCCATGGAAATAGGAAAAGAAACATTTTTCAAAATACTAATTGGTAATGTTGGCTGCTAGGAGGTTGGGGAGGATGAGGGCTAAGAAAAAGCCATTATATTTGTCAGGCAGTTCATTGGTGGGGTGACCATGACTGAACCAGAACACTTTTGAGAATAAAGGGGATATTATTAATAATCACTGTAGTACAGCAAGTATAAACTGGGTGTGTTCAGGGAATTCGTGGTCTGTGACCATCAGGAACACAAAAAATCATCATCATTGTGCTGAAGATTCGAGCCAGATGGCAGTGTGTTAGTGACTGGACCGTGAAGGTAGAGGCCTTCCAGTGTCAACTACTCTTTCAGAAAGTTCGGTGGGGGGGGTGTCTGGCTGGTTCAGTCAGCATGACATGCAAATCTTGATCTCGGGGCTGTGAGTTTGAGCCCCACGTTTGGCATAGAGATTACCAAAAAAGTAAATAAGTAATCTTTATTTAAAAAAAAGAAAAGGGTAAAAAGTTAAGCGGGTGGAAGATATTTACGGGACAAATAAATGAAAATCTTGAATTTATGTAGTTAACCATGAATTTAATAAAGGTTTCACATTTATTTCTTTTTCTAAAATACCACATTGACTAATTGTAATAGTTCTTTGCCTTATAGCCATCAAATGAAAGACCAAAATGCCCGGAACTGCCCCCGTTTCCATCATGTTTATCTACGATGCACTTCGTTATATTTGTAGTGATACAAACAGTGTTATTCATTGGTTATATCATGTATAGGTAAGTCTAAAATTTGGCTCAACGCTTTTCTGTATTTGTTTAATTTTAAATATTCAAAGTAACCTATATGTGTAACAACTTTCAGTACTTTTAAAAATCGGTCTAACACAAAGCAAGTATTATTTCTAGTCTATTTCAGTCACGTGGGAGTGCATGTATAGAAAGTATGCTTATCTTAATGCATTTTATACTTCGAAAGGCACTGTATATTTCAATTCTAAGCATTCCTGTTTCTTTCTGAAGTAAAATATATAGAACTTTCAGATTTTTTTTCTTTCTCTTTTTCCTTAGGACTCAGCAAGAAGCAGCTGCCAAAAAATTCTTTTGACCACCATTTTCATATGTGTACATCATGTATGTATGTACAGAATGTCTTTTTGAGGGAACTTAAGTATTTAAATTGCTTCATAGTCTAAATTATTAAATTTTGTATAAAATGTTTAAACATTGATTTGCAGTAAGAATAAACCTTAAAACAAAGACAACCACATGTAAATTTGTGCATAGTACATAAATCTATTTAAATTTCAGTGAATTTCTGGCCAGTAGAATACAGCCACTGAACAGAATATTGATAAATAAGACAGTAAATAATAGAAACGAGGGGCAACCCCGAGATGTGAAAGTTACCCCTAAGTCTCCAGTGTTGGACGTTTCTTTACTTAACATAAATATACTTGCCCTCCTGCCCCCCAAGCTATGTGGTCTAACTTAGAGCTCCCCGTCATGTTTAACCAGAGTCTTTTTTTTAGAGGTCAGAATTTCCTACTCTAAGACCCAGCCCAGCAGTCCTTTTATCTAATACAATTCCCTTTGAAATCAAAAAATATTTTGTCTGAGAGCTTTAGGATCTAGATAATAGGCTTGAGAATGTTGAAGTATCTTTCCCT